GGGATGGCTGTTGAGGAGTCGAGGCCGGTGAAGGGTAGGCCAGCCTTGTCGCGCAGCACACCTCTGAGGACGGGGTGAGGTGGCCTGACGATGCCGGGTCCCCCACGCTCTGCACAGGGCCCAGCACACAGCGAGCACTCACTAACCACCTCAGCCACCCTGCTCCAAGGGGGTCGACTCCCCGGGATGGTTGTGTTTTAGACAAAAAGGCCCCACAGTGGATACAAGTCTAACTCAGAGAGTGCCAAACCCCGGAACAGGGATTTGGGTCAAGCCTGGGTGAAGCCTCACCGAGCACGAGGATGGGGCACTGGGGGCTGCAGCTGCGCTCCTTCTCGGCGCGGATTGGGCACCACGAGCCGTCCACCAGGTACTCGATTTCGTCGGCGTCCTCACACTCACTCAGGATCTTAGAGAGGAGCCTGGGGGCGGGAGGAGTGGCTGCTGATTCCTGGGCCACACCCTGCTCTCCTGGACGGGGTGGGATGCTTGCTGAGCCACTTCCTTCTCTGCAGAAGGGGCTTCAGGGCAGCACTGGCCAGGCCTGGTGACCTGGGGTTCCAGGAGGGCCTGCAATGAGCTACTCATGGCAAGGGGACTGAGGTGACAGCCAGCCGGGACAGAGAATGGGGCCTGCACTCCAATTACTCGAGAGCATGAGGCCTAGGGGGCCACTTGACCTCCTAAATGAGGGGCTCCCACCCTCCCATACTGATTCTGTGTTGCCCCTGTTTTTACAGATGAGGAAACAGGCTCAATTCACCTGGGAACAGAATGAGCCCACATAATTCCCATATGGCCAGCAGCAACCCGAGGGCCCCATGGCGAGCTGTGGCCCTGGGCACTGTTCTCTGAGGTACAGCCAGCAAGGCCCATTTTACAGTTGGGGAAACTAAAGCCTGGGATGGGGAGGTGAGTCCTCCTGAGGCCACAAGGCCAGGCAGCAGCAGGCCTGGGTTCAAGTCCTAACCTCCAGCTACTTCCTGACCACCAGCCTTGGTCTCCCTGTCTGCAGGATGAGGCAGGCACAGGGCCCACCATCTCCAGCAGCTGCAGGGATCTGAGGAGTGGCCAAGTGCCCACACCAGGCTGGGTGCAGGGAACATACCAGAGCCCCCAGCGTTTGTTCAACCTCAATGCTGCACCTGCCTCCAGGTGACTTCGACCGCCTGGGTCATGGTCACACAGCAGGGAAGCCTTGTGTAGGACACCCCTGTGGCTGACGTGGACCCTCCCAGGCCCACCTTGAGGCCTTGTCTCCACCGTCACACTCACAGACCCACCACCCCAGGGTTACCCTGGTGTGAACACAACTCTCCCTGCAATGCACTTCACTACCTGGAAAACTCCGACTCACCATCCAAAGCCCCACTCTATGGCTTGTCTCCAGGCAGAGCACAGACAACAGGAATTATCTGTGTCTGGCTTGGTCCCCCCACCCCTCATGCCCAGTTGGGAGTCCCCTGAACGAAGAGTCCTTTTGGGGACCCCTGAGTCACTCAGCTCAGGGCCAGGAACAAACTGGTAGAGCCTCAAGGAATAAATGCATAAATCAAGGACCCTAAGCCTCCCTGGCTACACCCAGGCTCCATGGGCTAGTGGAATTGCAGTCTGTGTGGGACACCGTCACAATGCCCAGCCCCAGTCTTGTCTGTCCCTAGAGCTGTCACAGTTACCACCACCCAAGCCTGGGTGGCCCACTCCAGGCCTGTGGGGGGAAGTCGGGCTCTGGGCCGCACAGCTGCCAGGCCAGGAACAGAGCTGCCATTCAGGCCCAGCCCTTGTGCCCGGCCCCAGGGGCCTCCTCACTCCACCCTGAGGCTGGACTGCTTGGGGGTGGCAGCTCAGTCCTCCTGGGGAGAGGACCCAGGCTCAGAGCTTGCCATAGTGTGGTCAGAGTCCCAGCCTGGCAACCTGTGAGCTGGGGGGGGCACATTCTGAGCCTCAGTTTCCTCATAAGGTGGAGAGGATCAAGGTCCAGCTCCCAGGATGGTTGAGAGGGAGGGCTTGGCAGGACCTCACGTGCGGTGATCAGATGGAGACAAGTGGCTGACCGTGGGGACAACTCACACGTGGCCACTGCAGGTCACGGCCACTCCCTTCCCCACAGCATGTGCCCTAGCTGCACCTCGACCGCCACGCACTGGTGTGGGCCATGTAGCCGGTGATTCAGAGAGTGGCTATCAGACTCGGCCACACTGCCCCTGGCCTGCTCCTCCCTGGGCCACCCTGTTCCCTCCCCTGCCCCGGCTCTGGGGACAGAAACGGGTGTGGCTGGCGCCTGGCAGGAGCTGGTCAGTCAGGTGCTAGGCTCAGTTTCTGGAAACCTAAGACCAGAGCAAAGGTTCCTTTTTGGGGAGAATGGCCTTTTTCCCCTCGTTCCCCTGTGGCAAGGGGAGGGCCTGCCAGTCAGACTGGGGAGGCAGACTGGCCACAAGCTGGCACCACCTAGCAAAGGGACCAACAGAAATAGCCAGAGTTTTGGGGAGACATATCCCCTTCACCTTCCTACATGCAGGATGTGACAGAGCCTGTGCTGAATGCCACCCAGGAAGCAGCTTCCCGAATCGTGCAGCGAGGTCACGTGGAAAGCAACAGTGGACCTCCTGGGTCCCTAGCCCTGCTTCTGAACCCTAAGTGACACCATTGCCACTGCACAGCAACACCCCTGACATGTCCCACAGGGCTGCCCAGAGGTCCCAGGAGGAGGAGCCACAGAGGCCTCACAGGTTGCCTGGCTCCATTCCTCCTTCCACAGGGGCCCTGAGAAGTGAGAGCTTGAGTCCAGCACAGCCCCATGAGTGCCCCGGCGACTCACCCATCGATGATGAGCTGGTCGTAGGGGGCCGGCTTGTCGCACACTGGGCACATCCAGGTGGGCTTCTTCTCATTCATCTGGAGGTAGAAGACGGCGTCGAAGCACTGCAGGTGGGCGCAGGTCTCCGCACGGCAGGGCACCGACAGCCGCATCTTTACCAGCTGCGGAGCCGGAAAGGTGACAAGGTGTGAGCGGCCACCCAGCCCAGTACCGCCCGCCTGGCTGCCCCAGGCCACCGCGCGCCCTCACTCACCGGGCAGATGAGGGAGACCCGCACGCCCGTGGTGGCGATCTCGCTGTCGGGGTCTAGGCGCAGCTTCTCTTTGACTGTGGGGAAGGGGCGGCCTAGATCAGCAGGGAAGGGACGGAGATGCCTGCAGGCCTGGGGCCAGAGGCGGGTTCTCTGCAGCACTCAGAGGTGCTCGGAGGGCAGCAGCGAGCACGCTTGGCACCCTTGTTTCAGAAGGGCAGCGTTCCACATAACGAGCACCCTAATACCCACCTCCAGGATGATGAGACATGAGTTTTAGCTCCAGGCCCGGGGGCTACAGAGAGCACCTACATTAAAAACCTCTGGGCAGCAGCTAGTTATTTCCGGGTGCGTGACGATGGGGGACAGGCCCCCCAAATAAGCCTGCCCTGCTGGGGCTTTTCATGACCCATGGGACTTTTCTGAAAAGATCCAGGCAACAAGCAGCTAACACAGGCCACCTACTGTGACTGTTAATTCCCGTGAAAACCTCCCTGAGGACTCTGGGGTGGGTGAGGCAGTGCCGACGGCCTCCTGCACACTCCAAGGGCTGGGAAGCCCCGATGCCAGGTCAGGAGTGCCTACCGCGGACCCGGGGGACAAGAGCAGGCCCACGAGTGTGGCTCTCTGGCACCATCTGAGTCTGCTTCTCTATCAGATGAGAAGACAGCAGGTACCCGCCACTAAGGCCACCCTACTGCAAACACACAAGGCTGGAAAAAAGCCTGGAAGGAAACTTGCCTAATGTAGCCCTGGGGATGGGCCTGCAGGGGGCGCAGGGAGGCTGGCGGACGCACCTGAGGGGCACCTCGTTAAACTTCATTCCCAGATGGCTCAGGAGAAGATCAACCCCGGGCCCTGCAGTGGGGGAGGCCACCTTGCCAGGGGCCTGGAACTGCCCCTCCCCAACACAACTCCTGCGCCCTCTCCTCCAGAAAGCCGATCCCACGGGGGGCTGAGGGTGACTTGCCAGCTTGCCCCCGCCCTCTCTCCCCCACCACTCCCCCACTGTCCCTAAGGTCACACCAGTCATTCACACCTCAGTATGAATTTCTACCCTGTGGCTCCCCTCTCTGGCTAACAAGTGCTAACTGATGGTGGACCCAGAGGCCTCGGCCCCTCTAAAAGACCCGGGACAGCTAAGAATAGATGCAGCATCCACTGTTTCAAAGCAAGGCCTCTTCCTCCCCTACCTAAGAGAGGGAAGGCGTGTGCAGCAGAAAAGGTTCAACAGAACTTCCCGGCCGAAACTAGAGAGGAACAAACCCAGCAGCGATGATGCCCGGCGGGAGGCTGGCTGCAGAGAGGAAGCCCTGCCCAGCACAGGCCCAGGCTGGCACGCACAGAGCGACACACACCCTGAGGGCCCCCAGCACTGCCTTAGGCCTTGGCTCCTGGCTGGTCACTGAGGAGTCAAGCCAGGCCTCCACCAGCCGGTCCCCACCCTGTAGCCCCTGCTGCCTAGATGAGCCCTACCCAGCCCTGCACCAATCCCTGCACCTGCCAACAGGCACTGCGGCTAGCCAGCTGCTGCGGGGAGCCTGCCTCCTCTGGTCAAGCTGGCCACCGTCCCTGCAGGCCAACAGGCAGGTGGGGGTGGGGCTGAAGAAAAGGGGCCCTTGGTGAAAAGAGAGGCAGTGGAGCAGGGCGCCTAGGCAGAGGTCCCGGGGTCACAGCCCCCTAACTCGGCCATGCTGCACCCCAATGTCTGTCCCCACAGGTCAGACTGGGACACGGCCAGGTCCCACTGCCCAGAGCCGTCGTGAGGCTGGGGTCAGAAGCCAAGCCAGGCGGGCGTCTGGGCGACCCGGGAGGAAACTCCTGAGCACCGCTGTGTGCCGGGCAGCCCCGCTCCGCTGCTGGTCTAAGGGGAGGTTTTGGCTTCGTTGAAATGCCCTCTGTATTCTCACCCCCTTTCTTCGGTTGTTAGAGCACAACAGCAAATGAGTGGTCTCGGCTTTCCGGTCAGACCTTCATCACCAGGCGTGCACCTCCGCCGTGAGCCCGTCTTCTGCTCCAACTCTCTGAGCCCCGGCCCCGACCTGCCCCATCCCCTGCAGGGCAGCCAGAAGCACCTGCCTGAGCACAGACCACGTGGGTTGGCCCCTCCCAGCAAGGCTCCAAGGCTCCTTGCCGCATGTGCTCGGCCTGTGGACCCCGACAGCCCCCACCCTAGCTCTCCTCGCCCTACTCACTGGGCTCCCTGGGGCCTGCCAGCACGCCTTGCTCATCCCTGCCTCAGGGACTTTGCACTGAAGGTTTGCTGCCTGGCTCCCCCTCCTCCTTCCACACCCTCCAGAGACCTCTCAGAGCTCCCTAACCCCCAGGGTGATAGCTGGGCCCTGGAAGGTCAAGGTGCCCTGTCAGGAGACCCCTCACAGGCAACACGCTCCCATGAGGACTGGGCCTGCACCTCACACCCGGGACAGGGAACGTCTGAGATGACGGAGCTGCAACCACCCCCAGGGGCCGTGGGAGCCCCACCCATCAGCACAAAGGCCCCAGGGCTCACCCAGCGCCTTGCACAGCTCCGGGTGCTTAACCCCGATGGTCTTCAACCTCTGCAGCAGCTCTGAGGAGGTCAGTTGCCGCACCAAGTACAAGGCCACGGAGTAACTCTGAGGGCAGGGAAGGGGAGTCAAGACTGAGCTGGAGGAAGGGTGGGTGACTGGAGGGGGTAGGAGGGAAAGGGCAGGGGTGGCAGGGCCAGCTCACCTTGCCATAGTTGCCCCAGGTGACGGTGATGCGGTTGGTGGCCGAGGACAGGTACATGAGGTGCGTGAGGTTGATGGGGCGGCACGGCCTCTTGGGCTCCACGCCGGGTTTATTCGAGGGATAGTAGCCCTGAGAGCAGACAGGCCAGCTCACACCATCACCGAGGTGTTCAGCGTCACCCCCTCTACTCTCTGTTCTCTGTCCCCTCCCCCCCACCACCACAGATGCCAGAGGCAGGGCCGCACTCACCGGGACAGAGCAGTAGCTGTGGTTGACCTTCACTGCAATGTTGGGTGGGTACTGGTCTTCCTGAGGGCTGCTGGTGTCTGAATAGCAGATTCTGCAAGGACAGTGGGGACCATAGGGCCGCAGCACCTCGGGCAGGGGAGGGCCCACTGGGACGGCGGGGAGGACAGACGGTGGGTGGAGGCGACAGAGGCCCTGTCAGGCCTGATGGGTAGATCTCAATGCTGGACTGTAGGTGGGAGGTGTCAGGGGTCCCGTGTCTGGCCTGAGTGGGGCTGTGTGGTGATGCCCCACAGACAAGGCCAGATAACAAGGAGAAGCAGGGGGTTCTGAGAGTGGCCTGGGGCGGGACATGGCAGGACGTTGGCCACCCAGGGTCAGGGCGGTAGAGTCAGGTAAGTGTCCCTGCCGGGCCCCCGCCCAGGGTCCTGGCACACCTGGGCTTACCTTAGGACGACCTGCACGGCCTTAATCCCGGGCTGCAGTTCTCTGTGCATGGGGAGGAGAAGAGGGGTCAGTGGGGGAGCGTGCCGGGAGCCACTCTAATCCTTTGCTGGGGACTGTGGGCCCCTCCTGGGCCAGGTGGGTGGACTAACCTGCTACCTTCTATAACAACCAAAGGCCAAGGGGTACTATCTAGAACATTCTCTCCTGCCACTGACCCACTGGTGACTTGGGCAAATGACCTCCTCTCTCTGAAAAGTGGGGGGCTGGTGTGGATAGTGGGTTGGTGGGTGCCTGACAAACGGCTGGAGACGGAGGCCTCAGAGAGCAGAGTCGCAGCCCGGAACCAGCCTCCAACCGTCATCTGCTACAGCCCAGTGTCCCCACCGGGCAGTCCCGCCCCCACGACACTGGTGATGTCTGGGGACGTCTCTGGTGGTCATGGCGGGGCGCTCCTGGCATGGAGACAGCAGGGCCAGGGAGTCTGCTCCACACCCCCCAAGAGAACGCAAGCCCCGATGCTAGCAGCACCCAGGCGGGGCTCTGTTAAAGAAGGATGGCTGGCCTGCCTCAGGGCTGTGGGTCAAAGGCCGTGAGAGCACGGGCCCTGAGCAGGCTGGGGCCTCCCTTCCCCCAGCACTGAGCCCAGGTTCTGCTGCGGCCCTGGCGCACCTGGAGTTCCGGATCAGCTCCACCTGTCTGGGCGTCAAGGCGAAGATGCATGGGCTCTCCTGAAGCTTCTCATTATTCTGTGGAACTGGAGACAAATTCGGGGTCAGGGTCACGTTTGGTCCCTGGCGCAGGCGCTGACCATGGTCATTCCTACAGGCCCGGCCATCTTCAGACTGGGAAGCAGGAAATGGGAGGCTGAGCCCCATCTGTGTGGCTGGACATGTAGGCTGGACGGGGGACCTCCAGGGATGGGGGGATCCTGCCCCTTCTTGGGGCCACTAACTACAGCCTATGGTTCAGGGAACACTTGTGTCCCCCACGCCCCCCACTGAGGGTCACTCGGGGAGTAACAGCCTTCTCAGCCCTCCAGAGTTCAGGCATCTACTCAAGAGGACTGAGAGCTGTTCGTGCCAGGAGAAGAGCCCGGCAGGCTGGCAGGAGACAGCACGACAGGCCAAGTGCCCTCAGGTCAGCTGCTTGCTCCAGGTCCGAGAGACACCAGTGACTGCCCTGTCCCTAAATCGCAGGGCTGTTCCAGGCACCTGTGAGCACGTGCCCAACCGTGAGGCACTCGGCCCAGGCCCTGCACGTGATGGGTTCTCAGTGGGCCCTGCACAGCACTGCCAGAGGGGACAGGGCACAGGCTGAACAAAATCCCGCCTCAGGCACTCACGGGCTGGCTGAGGAGATAAGGAATTGAACCAGCAGTAAAAGTCCAAGTGCACAAAATCAGAGTCACAGAGCAGTCTGGCCTGGCTCACAGTGGGAAGTGTGAGGAGGGCAGCAGGGCCAGGGCACACAGAGCCATGCTCGCGTCACAAGGCACCCACTGGAGACCCCCTAGAGGCTGGGGGAGTCTGCCAGGGGACTGAGACCTTGGTGGTGAAGAGCTGGGTCTTTACTCTCAGTCGTACCTGCACTGAGAACCCCAGGTGCGATCAGAAAGTGCTCTGGCCTGGATGAGAAACACAGCCTTCCAAAATGTGTGTGTGGAAGGCAGCTAAAGCAGTCGTGAGAGGAAAAGGTATAGGTTTAAATGCTTCTATTAAAAAAAATGAAAAGAGTTTAAAATGAATGACATATGCTTCCTCCTTCCACAAGAAGCTAGAAAAAGAAGAGCAAATTAAAAGCAAAGCCATTAGAAGGAAGGAGATGAAGATGGAAGCCAATGAAACAGACAGCCCAGCAAAGCCCCAGGTTTCTGATAAACGCCGAGTCAGACCGGACAGCCAGACAGCGAGAACGTGAAGTATCAGCAACGAAAGGTGGACAACAGGACAGACCCTACACCTTCCGGTTCAGTCGGGGCAGTCACAAGCAACGTCATGCCAGTGAGGTCGCCGATTTAGACGAAATGAACAAATTCTTCCAGAGATGCATATTACCAAAACTGACACCAAGAGTTAGAGAGTCTGAAAAGCTTTTTATCAGTCAAAGAAATTGAATTCATAATTAAAAACCTTTCCACAAAGAAAACTGCAGGTCCAGATTGGTGGATTCTATCAAATGTTTAAGGAAGAAGCCATGTAAACTTTATATATAAACTTTTTCAGAAAACAGAGAAGGAAGAAAACTTCTCAACTCGTTTTATGAGGCAGCGTAACTCTGCTTCCAAAACCCGACAATAATGCATCAAGAAAGGGAAAACACAAACAGCTCTCATGAACATAGATGTAAAAATCTCGAACAAAACACTAGCAAACGGCCAGGGCCCCTGGGATTCGGCCTACGCATGCAAGATTGGTTTAAAACCTCCGCACGTCGACTTAGAGTGGCTAAAATGATAAGACCAACAATTCCAACTGGTGAGGACGTGGAGTGACCAGAACTTTCTGCTGGGGGGGGGTGGTTGTAACATGGTACAATCACTTTGGAAAAACGGTTGGGCACTTTCTAATAACGTTAAACCTAAACCTACCCTATAACCAGCAATCTGCTGTTAGGTATTTCCCAAATAAATGTCCACAAAAAGACCTGTACAAGAACACTTGGCAAATTTATTCCTAGTAGCCCTAAACTGCAAACAACTCGAGAGCCTGCCAACGGAAGAACAAGCAAGATGTGTCACAATCATAAAATAAAATAAAACTTGTTATCTACGCATTGACATGGATGAATCTGAAACCCAAAATGCTGAGCCAGAGAAGGCAGATGCAAAGAAGTATGTGCTGCCTGTGTGTCGTGTCACATTCTGGAACAGGCAAAACGAACCTGTGTGACAGAACTCGGAACAATGGTGGCCTCTGGGGCCAGGGCAAGCAAGGACTGCCAGGGAAGGGGCACGTGGAAACTTAGCACTGATGGAAATGTTCTGTATTTGATGGCACTTGGGATACTCGGGTACGTTCATTTGCAAAAACTCAAATTACACCCTAAATATCTGTGGATTTCACTCTACGTAAATTATACCTCAATGATTAGAAATATAAAACTGCGCTGAGAAGTGGTGATCATTATGCAATGCATAAAAATGCCAAGTCACTCTGCTGTACACCAGAAACTAATATCAGATTATAGGCCGATCTTACTCAATGTATAAGCCAGAAAGAGGAAAAAAAACACTGTATGATATATCACTCATATGTGGAACCCAATAAAAAAAAAGACAAAAGAATTTATTTACAAAACAGAAACCGACTCACAGACACAGAAAACAAACTTATGGCTACCGGGGGGAAGGGGGTGGGAAGAGATTAACTGGGAGTTTGAGATTTGTAGATACTGACCGGTATCCATAAAATGGATAAACAAGTTAATACTGTGTAGCACAGGGAACTATATTCGATATCTTGTGGTAGCTTACGGTGAAAAAGAGTATGAAAACAGATACAAGTATATTCATGTACGACTGAAGCATTGTGCTGTACACCAGAAACTGACACAACATTGTAAACTGACTATATACTTCAATTAAAAAAAATCTCACTTCAATGTAAAAATCAATTTAATGAAGCAAAAAAACCAAAACACAAATAACACCAATACCGCCCCCCCAACAAAACCCACTACACTCGGCAGTCATGTGACTGGAAGACTGGAAGAGGCGGAGAAGTCTGATAGACACTGACGAGGCCGTGCTGGCAGGAGGGAAAGGCTCCTCGGAGAAGCCGGCACAGACCCCGGACCACGGCCACTGGCGCTGGCAGACGCGCGCACGCGCAGCAGGACCACGCCTGCCGCCCGACGCAACTCCAGATGGTTTTCATCAGCAAAAGACTGTTAATGACCTAGGTGCCCACCCGTGTGGTCTGGTCAGCATCCGCACGGGACCCCACACAAGGGAATACTATGCTACCGTGAAACAGGTGCTCCGATACAGACTCATCCCCAAGATGGTTTTAAGTGAAAAAGGCAGGTGTGGAGCAGGGGTTGCTATCTGTGTAATCAAAAGCCAAAACCGAGGGAGGGGCTCTGTGCAAGAGCTGTCTCTGGGGGTGCAAGAGCTGGCCACATGTCAGCCTTGGAGTGGCTGGGAGGTAAGGCATCCGCCTTTTTCATACTGCAAACCCTTCAGAAGAGTGATGGGCCGACTGTCCCTGTAACGAGTAGGGGTGTAAATATTTTCGGCTTTGTAAGCCACATGGCTTATGCCTCCACGTCCCCACTCTGCCTTGCACCACAAAAGCCGCCAGTGAGACCTGAGCACAGGCCTGGCGTGGCCAAGGCCAGCAGGGAGCAGGCCCTGGTCGGCCCACCCCTGCTTCCGAAGTCCAAAGCAGCACAATGGGGAGGCTATTTAAAAAGCAAACACAATTCAAATTTGAAACCAGCTCGGACTGGTTTGTACCCCAGCTCTACCCAGCCCTGTACACCTCCATCCCCACCCAAGCCTGGGCAGCCTCCACGCACAGGACCCATCTCTCAGGGCTAGGTCTGGAGCTGGAGCCAGTCAGAGGTGGCCACTGACACCGCCACGTTGTTGCCGCCAGTTCCTGCTTGTTGAGGAGGGCTGGTCCCTCCGGAGTCCTGGCTGGGGCCCTGGAAAAGGGCAGCCTAATTGGAGGGCTGGTTGCAGGGAGGCTACTTGCAGACACGCCCAGACCTGCCCAAAGAGTCGGGGCAATTATTTATGGGGGAGGGGGTCTCCCATCCAATAGATCCCACCGAGTCCCCTGGAAGGCAGGGGAGGGGGGCGGTCCACCTGGCAGTCAGGGAGCTCTGCCAGTAGAAACTGCAAGAAAGGTCACTGAAGGACTAGAATCTGGGGTCCCTTTCCGGGAAGGACTCCTACTTCTAGGTGAGGCTGCCGCGGGGGAAGGGGATGCACGCTGAATCCAGATTTTCTGCTGTGCCATCAGCTTGGGGAGGCTGTGACTGTTTCCCCAGGGAGCCAAATGGCCAGTGGGAGGTGAGCTGCCACCTCAGCAGGGACACAGCACACCCTACACCACCAGGAGGGGGCGGGGGTCCCCCAAAACCGTGCCTTAGCCGCCACCGCCAGTGGCGGCCCCACCCTTCGGGCTGTTCAGGGCTGAGATGTGGCATCCATCCTCACCATCAGCTCCTGAGGCCAATCCTGCTCACTTCAAATCCCAAATGCATCCAGGGTGGTACCTTCTCCACCAGTGCTTATCTGATCAGAATGCAGACCCGATGCTGGTCTCCTGGCTGCCCCAGCTCAGGACCTTAGGGGGCACTCTGTCCCCAGCCCTGGTGGCCTTGATTCCACGGCAGCCACCTTAGCCACCTCCTCGTGCTCCTCACCTGCCAAGAACATCTCGCCTAGAAGCCTTTGCACTTGCCATCCCCTCTTCCAGAACGTTCCCCTCCTCAACTATCTACACAGTCCTGGTGTTTAAGAAAGTCTGCGCAAATGCCCCTGGAATAGAAGTCTTCCCTTGAGTGCCTTTATTTAGAAGCCACAACCTCCACCCCAACCCACCTGCAACTCCAGCGCTCCCCACCCCCTTCCCTGTTCCGTCTTCTCCAAAACCTTTATCTTCTGAGAATGAACACAATTTTCCCATGTCTGGTTCGTTGTGGACGCTGTGCCAAAGGTACCTCTGTTGTCACCCATGCTGCACAGGTGGAGCACGGTGGAGGAGGTAATCGCCCTCCCAGCCCCCAGCACACTCACCAGGCTGA